ATTCAGATTTAGTTGGGCCACTAGATAAATCACTAGCGGGGTCCCAGTATATGCTCACCTTCTTAGATGACTACAGCCACATGTCATTTTGTTATTTTGTGGTAAAAAAGAGCCACGTTTTTGACACATTCGTCAATTTCAAGAAGTTTGTAGAAAATCAAACAGGTCTGAAGATAAAAATACTCAGGACAGATAATGGAGGTGAATTTTGTTCTAATCAAATGGAAGATTTTCTTCGTACTGAAGGTATCCAACATCAGACCTCCGTTCCTCATACGCCTGAACAAAATGGAAAAGCGGAGCGTTTAAACCGCACGATTGTAGAAAAGGTCAGATGTTTACTTGCTGATTCGGGACTTCCTCAGAAATTTTGGGCAGAAGCGGCAAACACTGCATGCTATCTTCTCAACAGATCTCCTACGAGATGCACAGAAGTCACTCCACTGGAAATTTGGACAGGAAGAAAACCGACCGTAAAGCACATTCGTACGTTCGGTTGTAAAGTATATGCTCATATTCCAGCTGCCAACCGAAAGAAGTTGGACGCAAAATCTCGTCCAAGCATATTTATTGGCTACAGTGCTAACTGTAAAGCGTACAGACTTTATGATCCGAAAAAATCGGAAGTATTTGTGTCTCGTGATGTCATTTTTTCAGAACACGAGAAAGGATCACAGCTTTTGGAAAAATCAGAAAGAGATTTTGCCAACTATCCTTTGGTATCTGATGACATAGACGATCAAATCGGAGACTATCAAGAAGCTGAACGTATTCTAGCAGTTCCAGATAGCGCCACTGGTGCATCAGGTGGAGACAATGAACCTGGTGATTTTCCAGCTGGAATAGGCGATGGACCCGGCAATGACGACAGTTCAGCATATGATTTTCTCGACCAAGATGAATCAACTGATTTTCAAGTGGAGGATGAGAATGACGATCCGACATATCATGCTAATTCACATCAGCAACGGAATGATCCAGCCGATCAACAACGGAGAGGAGAACGTGTTAGACGACCACCTGTCAAATTCGAGGATTATGTTTCTTATGCAATGAGCTTAAGTGAACCCGATGATCCAACGACCATTGAAGAAATCGAATATCGTCCTGACCGTGATCTTTGGAAGCATGCTATGGACCTTGAGTACAAATCGCAGCTAGAAAACGGAACATGGGAGCTCATGGATCTACCACCAGGAAAGGTACCACTCAATAACAAATGGGTCTTCAGGACAAAACGAGATGTCACTGGTAAAATAGTGAAGCATAAAGCCCGGCTCGTTGTCAAAGGCTGTGCCCAACGCAAGGGTGTAGATTTTGAGGAAACCTTTTCTCCGGTAGTGAGGTACAGCTCGATCCGGTATCTTTTGGCCCTGGCAGCTAAACGAGATATGGACGTTGATCAGATGGACGCAGTTTCAGCTTTCCTCCAAGGAGATCTCACTGAAGAGATTTATATGCGTCAGCCTGAAGGCTATCAATATTCAAACCAAGTCTGTCATCTAAAGAAGAGTTTATATGGACTCAAGCAAGCGAGTAGAGTATGGAATATTAAATTAGATGGATGTCTGAAAAGTATCGGTATGAGTCAATCAAAATTTGATCCCTGTGTTTATTTCAAGTCCAATCAGAAAATGTTGTTGATAATAGCAGTCTGGGTTGATGACTTGCTAATATTTTCTGACAATCCGAAACTGAAACACGAAATCAAAACTCAACTGATGAAACATTTCAAGATGACTGACATTGGTGAAGCCAAGTTTGTGCTTGGATTCCGAATATCAAGAGACAGGAAGAGAAAGAAGTTATGGATTGATCAGAAAGCGTATATTGATAACGTTTTAATTCGATTCCATATGGAAAATTCTAACCCTGCCTCAACTCCCCTTGATCCAAATGTGAAGCTTTCTAAAGACCAGCAGCCGTCCTCTACAAATGATGAAGAGAAAATGGAAAATATCCCTTATCAAGAGGCAGTAGGCAGTCTGTTGTTTGCATCACAGGTGTCCAGACCGGACATAGCATTCGCTGTCAGCTTCGTTAGTCGATTCAATAATAACCCAGGAGCTGCACATTGGTCTGCAGTGAAGCGCATCCTCCGATACCTGAAAGGTACAGTGGACTGGAAGCTGGAGTACGATGGAAACAAATCGTGTGAGATCACTGGGTATTGTGACTCTGATTTCGCAAGTGACATTGATGAGCGAAAATCTGTCACCGGATATGTGTTCCTGATGTGCAACGCATCAGTATCTTGGGGAACGAAGAAGCAACCGACAACAGCGTTATCCACCACTGAGGCGGAATATATGGCGTTGTCCGCTGCTACCCAGGAGGCTCTCTGGCTGAAGGGTTTGTCAGAGGAGATAGTTCCCTGCTCTGAGCAAGAGAAGACTCCAGTCAAAATATTCGTGGACAACCAGGGCGCGCTCAATCTCGCTCAAAATGGTTCCTACCAATCGAGAACTAAACACATCGATGTGCGTCATCACTTTGTACGTCAGAAGATAGCTGAGAAGCTTATCAAACCATCATACATATCAACGAACGACATGGTAGCTGACTCACTTACGAAGCCGTTGACTCCTGTAAAATTCCTGAAGTGTATTCAGTTACAGGGAATAACCAAATAGGAGGGGTTGTTGGACTATTTATTATATTTGGTTATATTAGTCTAATGATCTAGATATGAACGCCATGTAGATATGTGTCACAAGAAAAATATATAGATTGTCAAGTACATGTCAGTAAACAGTCATTCTAATTTCATCTCCACTATAATATAGAAAAACTATAGAATAACAACAAAATGATCACTATTAAACCTACGTTACAAGCAAGAATTATATTTTGGATGCAATTTGCATCAGTTCAATTTCAGAACGTTGTGGAATGTGATGCCACAAATTTCTTTATCGTGATTGTGATGACGCCTGGGATGCCTCAATTTTATCACGTTGATAGAACGTGTGATGAAACAAAGTTCTTTGATTGATCTCCTTTGTGATGACGCCTGAGATGCCTAAATTTTATCACGTTGATAGAACGTGTGATGAAACAAAGTTCTTCAATCGATCTGCTTTGTGATGACGCCTGGGATGCCTCAATTTTATCACGTTGATAAAACGTGTGATTTGCGTGTGATGAAACAAAGTTCTTTAATTGATCTGCTTTGTGATGACGCCTGGGCTGCCTCAATTTTATCACGTTGATAGAACGTGTGATGAAACAAAGTTCTTTAATTGATCTCCTTTGTGATGACGCCTGGGCTGCCTCAATTTTATCACGTTGATAGAACGTGTGATGAAACAAAGTTCTTTAATTGATCTGCTTTGTGATGACGCCTGGGATGCCTCAATTTTATCACGTTGATAGAACGTGTGATGAAACAAAGTTCTTCGATTGATCTCTTGTGTGATGACGCCTAGGGTGTCTCAATTTTATCACATTGATAGAACGTGTGATGAAACACTGATTTGTAGCAGTAGCATGTTATATTTTAGATGCAAGTTGCATATGTTTCAGAACGGTGTGATGAAACGAAGTTCTTTGACTGATCTCTCTTGTGATAGAGCTGAGACATGTGTGGTTAACTGGGGGGTTACGTCCTGATCTCGAATCCGAAGTGATTTTCAACCTATCTCGCCTCCTAATATCATTTTCCGGAAATGTTGGTGGGTACATGACCAGAGCAGTGTTTTTCACAGAAGATTACCTCACTTTGGTCATAGTTGGTATATATATCTATCGCTCCTTAAAATTGAACAGTTACGTTAGATATACGGGTTGATATTCCATTAAAGAAGTGACATGCACACACTGTTTATATATTTGAATACATCCAGTGGGATTGAATTTTATTTTATGTTGAATATTAGAGTGTGTTTTTTTATGTGATATATTTGTTCTGTTTATTTCAAATATATATTTTTTTAGTAGGCATACTATAGTACTTCTTTTATATAGTTCTGAAATCTGATCCACGCTGTATTTGTTTCAATTAAATGGCATCAGTAGATAGTAAATAAAATGTTAGGATAGGGACACATGTAAGCCATTTTGACAAATCAATATAGGTATTGCATGTATAGTTTCGATACAAAAAAAATCTCGATTTTTCACATTCTACGTATAGGTATACCTTGAGCTTGATCAACGAAATCATAGCTCAATCAGAAGAATCGAAAAATGTAATAAAACATTCCATTTTGAATAACAAAGCTGCTACTACTATACTACTATAAGTACTACATAATTACTAATAATAATTTCTAGTGAAGCAGATGAACAAGTTTCGATACAAAAAAAAACTCGATTTTTCACATTCTACGTATAGGTATACCTTGAGCTTGATCAACGAAATCATAGCTCAATTAGAAGAATCGAAAAATGTGATAAAATATAAGGTGTTCCATTTTGAATAACAAAGCTATACTACTACTACTAACTACTAATAATAATTTCTAGTGAAGCAGATGAACATTATCGAAAATAATGAATAAAACGAGCGTCCTCGCCAACAAAACATAAGCATATAATATGTACATATAGTTTCATGATTTTCGATGAGTGGTTCGCTATATTTACATGTATAGGACTCGTCGTGACATAGCGAATTATTGCAAATCAAATCATCGCTTTCATTATCTGATAGGTCGCAGTAGATCACTTGATGCCTATCAAATGTTTCTTATTTATTCGAAAAAAAAAAATGTTGAAATGTGATCAAGAAAACTGTTGGTGGCCCACCCCGTACTACAAAAACAAAGACAGCATGAGAGAAGCTGCCTGCCCACTCATTGTATCATGACTGCCTGCTTACGTCTCGGTCTCCCCACCGCTTAGGTAACGATCGAGCGTGTTCGGTGAACACACGGGTATGATCTCGAGACTCTTGTTGCAGTGCTGTGCCACTGGTCGATCGGGAAAATCCGGAAATTCTGGCAGCCAGCTTTGGCAGCCCACTTCACGTAGATAGGAAGGCCGAGGTTAGAGAAACAAGGAAGAAGAAGACAGGAGGTTATGTTTAAATTTTTATTGTTTATTTTTCGATTTCCATTTGCTTGCTTGAAATCAGTGAAATCATAATTATGTACAAAAAAGATGCCACCATAAACGTACTCGATCTCTTCCACGAGAGAAAACTAGTGAAAATATGCGCTCCCATGGTTCGCTACAGCAAACTGCAGTTCAGAAACTTGGTGAAATTATATGATTGCGACCTGACGTTCACCCCGATGATCCTCGCAGATTCTTTCTGCAAAAGCAACAAAGCCAGAAGAAACGAATTCACCACAAATTCCGTAGACACCCCTTTGGTGGCCCAATTCGCAGCGAACACAGTCCACGATTTCGTCGGGGCAGCATACTTAGCATCACCTTTTTGCAGTGGAGTGGATTTGAACTGCGGCTGCCCCCAAAAGTGGGCTAGTGAGCAACAATTGGGCTGCTCAATGTTAAAAACACCAGAAGTTATTTATGATCTGGTGAGGCAGTGTAGAAATCGGATAGAAGAACCCTTCACTGTGAGTGTGAAAATGAGGTTATCTAAAGATCTAGAGCACACAGTGGAGGTTTGTAAACAGTTGGAAATGTGTGGGGTGAGTTTTCTGACTGTTCATGCTCGCACTCCAACCCAACTAGTAGGAGAAATTAATGAAAGTGCCTTGAAATTAGTGAAGGAAAACTGTACAATTCCAATTGTAGCTAATGGGGGAGTGAGTTCTTTAGAAGACTGTTTCAATCTACAAAATTATACAGGGTGTGATGGTGTTATGGTAGCCAATGGAATTTTAACTAACCCTTGTTTATTCAGTGGCTCATCTGTTACCACCTTGGAGTGTGTTCAAAATTGGTTGGATATTTGTTACAATAGTACATTGACAATGGAGGATTATGAAAAAGAGGTGTTGGAGCCTAAATGTTGGATAGTTGAAAGGCCTTCCAACTTGACATTTCAGTGTTTTCATCACCACTTGGTTTTTATGCTGGAAAAAATTTTACCCAAGAGGAAAAGAAGAGTTTTCAATAATTTGAAAACATTCAGTGATGTCTTGTTGTTCATTGAAGATTATTTCAATATGAGGCCAAAGCTTTTTGAGCTGGAAAAGTTTGCAAAATATTTGTCCCTCAATTTGGATTATTCTGATAGAATTTGTATTTATGAAAGTCTGAAACCTATTGAGTTGAATGATGCACCCTTAGTGGAAGAGCACAGTTATATTGATGAAGATGGGAAATATTTCAGTAATAAGGTGTCACCCACTATAGAGTATGGAGATTTTTCTGATATTTTTATTGAAAATGGTTGAATCTTTCATCCAGTGATCATTTGTTTGTTTGCCTTGCAACATAGTGCTGGGAGAAGGATGAAATGGAAAATCTATGTTCTTTTTCCATAATAGATCTAATGAAACAGATTATTGCAACCCTTGTGTGAAATTTCCAGATTCAAAATAATTTGTTTGATGATTTTCAAACATTTGAAAATGTACAAGTGTTTTGGGGTATTTTATAATAAAAACTTTGCAGAATGTGTTTGTTTGAATTACTTTTATTCCTATATTTACCAAAGTCTGAAATATCAGAGGGAGTTTTTCCAGATATATTTTACAAAAGGACCCCTCACTAAACTATAGGGAAAATGGCTCTTCATGAAAGTCACTGAATTTTTGGTATGTTACAGACTCTGATATACTGAACAGATATTCCATTGAACTAACCCCTAAAAATTGACAGTTTTCTGGATATTGACCCCAAATGTAATTTTTCAAGAAAAAAAATCTCTGAAAATGGCTGAATTTCTTGTATGTTGAACTGATGAAAAAATTCGATTGACCTAACCTCAAATTGACAGTTTTCCCAAATGTACTTAAGGAAAAAAGATGAATGGAACAATAATCAATAGACAAAGTTGTTGGTTTCGAATTAGTATTTGGAATTTCATTCTTCTAAAAACAAATCTTCATAAATTATTTTTCAGAAAAATTTCATTTGGAGGGCAATGTCGAAAAAACTGTAAATTTTTTGAGGTTAGGTCAATAGGATTTTTTATTTTTTCTTCCTCATTCCTATCTACAAAAATGACATTTGGAGGTCAATATTGGAAAAAATGTAAATTTTCTGAGGTTGGTTCAATGCAATATCTGTTCAGTATATCGAAAATTTTCATTGAATGAATTGTATAAAATAGGTACCCTAAAAGTTTATCATGAACAAAAATTTGAAATCTAATTTTGTTTTGATAAAAAACTCAGAAATTTTATCATCACAGGAGGCAATAGGCCTTTCATGTAGATATATTTTCAAGACGCATGCGCTCGTTTTTAGATCCAAAATTTGATTGGGTTGCGAAATTGAAGTCTCATTGGTTATAGTTCCGACACACAATTCTGATTGGCCATTTCGAATATGGCGGTTTTTATAGACGTTCTGTCAAATTTCAACAGTGTCAACCAACATGGGCATTCGTCATTGAGAAACAACAATAACAATATAGTATTTTCGTTACTATATTACTGGCGGTGTGTATTAATTTTTTTTATCGCTTGGAGCGCACGAAAGGAATTCCCTATAATGTTCAAAGAACATCGTGCGTTCCTAGGGAGGATAGGGACAGGAGGTAGGTAGGTATATTGAAATTTTTTTTGAACTTTCGGAGTCTATATGTATTGTTGGGAATACTTCCACAGGCAATGAATTCCAGAGCCTAGCCGTTCTATGGTTGAAACAGTTTTGACATCTTTCGAGGTTGACAACGAAAGAATGTGCTGACTGGGCTTGTCTTGTTCGTCTGACTGGTATTGCTAGTGACGGGATGATAGCAGAGATTTCCGAAGAACATTTCCCGTGGAAGTATTGGAAGAAAAGTGAAAGGTCGCCGACCTAGCTTTCTACGGTGTTCCAATGATGTCAAAGAGTGAGTGAGTGTGGCATCACCCACCAGGCGGATGGCTCTTCTCTGGATGGAATCTAAGAGCATTAGGGTATGTTCTGGTGCTGACCCCCATATGTGGGAACAGTATTCTAGAACAGGTCGTATCTGCGCTTTGTAGATCATGAGAAGCTGTTGAGGTGTAAAGTAGCTTTTCGCACGGAACAAGAATCCGAGTTTTTGTGAAGCAGCTTTTGCGATGGATCTGACATGATTATCCCATGAAAGAGTGTTGCTGATGGAAATACCGAGCATAGATATGGTGTGCTTGGTGGGGATGGTGGTGCCAGACATCTCAATATTGGGCATACTGAGTTCCGCCTTTCTAGAGAAAATACAGGCTTGAGTTTTGGTGGCGTTGAATTCAACTAGATTATTGTTGGTTCCCCAGGCTGTGATTTCAGCAAGGTCTTCATTGACAGCATTGACCTGCCTGCGCCGTGAGTTCTTAGTATCCTGGGAAGAAATGGGAATTCTAGAAGAGAACGCAGTATGGAGGGTACTATCATCTGCAAAGCTGTGGATGGGGCAAGTATTGTTACTCCCAACAGATCATTGATATGAAGCAGGAATAATGTTGGTGCCAAAATTGATCCTTATGGAACGCCGGAATTGATGCCAATGGTATCAGACGATACACCGTCCACCACCACATGAAGCAATTTGCCTGAAAGAAAACTCTATGAGAGATGGCATAGCTGAGGTGGTAATAAGCCGTATGATGGTAGTTTGTGGAGGAGTCCTTCGTGCCAAACACGGTCGAATGCTTTCGATATGTCCAACGCGACAGCTAGAGATTTTCCGTGTTCTTCTTTATGGGTGACGTAGGCAAGTAGATCTCCAGTAGATCTTCGGTGGCGAAAGCCGTATTGTCTATCATTGATGATTCCTGAGCTCTCCAGATATTTGATAAGCTCAATATTGATGGCTTTCTCCATCACTTTGGAGATTACTGATAACAGGGAAATGGGCCTGTATAGTTGTTGGGCAGGTTCTATTGTTCCCTTCTTTTGGGGATTGGTTGGACTCTAGCTGTCTTCCAGCATGATGGAAAAGTACCCGACCTGTACGACACGGTAAACAACTTGCAAAGAATCGGTGTTAATTCTGGTGAACATTTTTTGAGGATAATGGGTGGAATTCCATCAGGACCGTTAGCCTTATTCGTTTTGAGACCAAGCAAAATTCGTCTGATAGTGCGTTGACGGAAGACGATTTCGGGCAATCGACTCTCAACCGGTGGAATGTCTGGCGGCACTTTTCCTTGGGAATCTAAAGTAGAGTTTGCTGCGAACATCTCTGCAAAAATATTTGCTTTCTCCTGCGATGTTGTTGCTAATGTGCCGTCGGATTTGGACAGTGGTGGAAATGAACTATTAGTGAAATTTCTTCCGACCGCTTTAGCAATGGACCAAAACGAACGGGAGCCATTGGGACAATCTATGAGTTTCGATCTTATCTTGGCATTGTATGTTTCTTTCGAAGCATCTATTGTTTGGCTGCAGTTATTCCTGGCATCAAAACGTATTCTGCTCTAGTCGCGAGGTTAGGGTTTTTGCGCCAGCGATGGTAGGCTGTTTGTTTCAAGGCAACAGTTCTACACCTTTTTCAATTGTAATTCAGAAAGTATAAGATGTAATTCAGAAAGTATAAGTTGTAATTCAGAATAGTTAATTGTATTTCAGAAGGTATAACTTGAAATTCAGATTAGTTAATTGTAATTCAGAAAGCGTAATATGTAATTCAGATTAGTGAAATGTAATTCAGACAGTGTAACTTGTAATTCAGAATAGTTAAATGTAATTCAGATACCGTCAATTGTAATTCAGAAAGCATAACTTGTAATTCAGAAACTATGAACAACCCGTATGCATCCATTCTCCTTGAGACTTTAACGTAAATCAAGTTACCAACAAGCAGAGCCATGTTGTCATAGAAAGTAACTCGAAATATCAAATAAATGTCGAATAAATTGCACAACACACCACCATTCACCATGCTGCAGCTCTGGTATTTCAAGATATGCCCGTTGGTCGATAAATATAAGATGTTCACCACACAATGAACTCGTTGATTTCTATTCCCTACCCTTATTCCATAGGATTTATGAATTACAAGTGATGCTTTCTGATTTACAAATTACGCTTTATGAATTACAATTGACTATTCTGAATTACATTTCACTAATCTGAATTACAAGTTATGCATTCTGAATTACAATTGACTAATCTGAATTACAATTGACGCTTTCTGAATTACAATCAACTATTCTCAATTATAAGTTACCCTTTATGACTTACATTTTACTAATATGAATTACAAGTTACACTTTCTGAATTACAATTGAAAAAGGTGTAGAACAGTTTTTGTATTATAATAATATTTTAAATCGAAAAAACGTTACTTATTCGTTGATGGGGAGTGTGGTCAAGTTTTTTGGTGAAAATGGCCGTCACTGTCGTTGGATGCGAGATGTAAACACAGATAGTCATTTGTCATCTAAATGAAAAGGCATATTAAACTTGGATCATCTTGATTTCCCTACTTCTTACTTGGCCAAAAAAGATTTAGCCATGCTGCTCTAGTTGGATTCAATAAATTACCACAAAATATTGCTCATATATTTCAAAATTTAAAATTGCATTGAAAATTCACATGATTCCATTATGAAATAGATAAAATTGATTCATTGCCATCTACTGATGGATCCCTGTTACTATTTTATGATTTGATCAATGGGCGTGTACACCTTAGTAGAACTTTCAACTCAAACCATGTTTATAATGATCCTTTTATACAGGGTGGGCCACCAGTAACGCCTCGGTCTCTAGAAGGCTAACCACTTATCTTCTTGGAATTCTTCCTTTCTAGGAAGTTGCATGTCAACATAGGCTACCATTTAAAATTATTTCGAAACATACTGGGTGTCCCCAAAAACTATAAAACACTGAAGTTAAACTTTTTTCTATTGAACATATTATTTCATTTTGAGATTCTCCCTGATGAGCTGATTTCAACGACCCATCATACTTGGGGTCTAGCAGTTATAATTACTGAAATATAGGGTGTGAAAAATCGAGATTTTCCAAGTTCAAGAATTTTTTGTGTCGAAACTATTCATAATTGGTCAAAACGGCTTACATGTCCCTATCTCGACTTTTGATTAACTATCTACTGATATTTAATTGGGACATATACCGGGTGATCAAGATTCTGAATTCTGCACCACCCTGTATTTGTTTCAATTAAATGTCAGTAGATAGTTGACCAAAAGTTGAGATAAGGACATGTGAGCCGTTTTGACCAATTATGAATGGTTTAGACACAAAAAATTCTTGAACTTGGAAAATCTCGATTTCTCCCACCCTATATCTCAGTAATTATAACTGCTAGACCCCAAAGTATGATGGATTGTTGAAATCAGCTCACCAGGGAGAATCTCAAAATGAAATAATATATAGGGTGTTCGATTGAAAAAAGTTCAACTTCAGTGTTTTGTGATTTTTGGGGACATCCTGTATGTTTCAAAATAATTTCAAATGGTAGCCTATGTTGAAATGCAACTTCCTAGAGAGGAAGAATTCCAAGAAGATA